GGGGTGGGTGACAGGAACGGGGCCTGCCTCGAACTCCACCGATCCCCGCCCTCACAGTGGAGCCTGTAGAACCCGGCCAGGCTTGGGGCCGCCAGTCCCCCCGGCGCTTGGAGGACTGGAGCAATGGAGAGAGGCGGGCATGCTGGGCCTGGGGCCCCAGCTCGCCGAAGCCTGGTGAAGCCCAGAATGGGAGGTGAGTGGCCAAGTACCTGCCCCACCCCCAGCAGCACCTGCCTCCCCATGGCCCAGAAACTCAGCACCCCTCTGTGCCCCCACCCCCAGGAGAAGTTCCCGCATGGACGAGGCTGCCTGGTTCCTGGACTCAGCCGACTCATCCCCCGTGGGGTCTCCTTCTATGCTCCCGACGCTCAACGGTGAGTGGCCTGTCTCCTTCCTGCAGGAAGCTGCTGGGCCTTTGGTGGGGATACAACCTTCTGTTCCCTGATGGGGAAACTGAGGCCAGGCAGGGCCGAGCTGAGCCTGGAGCCCAGACCTGCCTTGTAGACCCACTCCCGAGCCAGCTCCAATCCAGGCCTCAGGGCCAAGAGCCTGGTTCTGTTCATACCCAGCCTGCAAGAGGACTCTTTCCTGTTGTGGTCACCCCTGTGCCCACCCCGGGCCCTGGGGAGGGAAGATCCACAGAAAACGAGCTCCTCCTTTGGGACCCAGGCTAGATCCCCCAGGTGGCTCTCACACCGTGCTGCCCGGAGTGCCTCTGGGGCGGGGAGCAGATACATGCGTGGGGAGGGGAGGGGAGGTGGGGCAAGCGGGGACCCCTTCCCACTCCCCCAGGACAGCTGGAAGCTCTCCTCACCTGCACGGTGATCGTGGCACTTCTGGTGTGCCAGGCATCCCATCCAAGCAACCACCTGTGAGGGAGACACTGTCGTCACCCACACTTTAGAGATGAGGAAACAGAGGCGCCCAGAGGTTAAGAACCTGTGTAAAGTCCCCAGCAGGAGGATCTGTGGTGAGGGCCATGACTTTGACCTCCCAGCCAACCCCAGTCCACATCCCTGGCTGAGAAGCAGACAGTGGGGCCTGGCAGAGAACCTCGGCCCTGGGGACTTCTCCAGGCATGAATGACAACGTGCTCAGAGCCACAGCCCCGCTAGACTTTGGGCTTTGGGGGACCTGCCTCCATGACAGGCCCTGTGACCCTCGTCACAGGGGGCTCTAACGACCCCATGGCACAGCCCCTCGGTGAGCTCTCCCGGAAGGCATTTCCTCTCCCCGCAGAGTCAGAGGGAGGCGTCGAGGCGGTGAAAACGCTAGCAGACTGCGTCTCAGACCAGCCTGGGCTCTCGGAACCTCGGGTTCTCAGGGACTTCTCTCCGTTCTCATGTCGCCTTTGGGGGTGTTAGGTGCGCTGAGCCCCATCGCTCTTCTAGGAGCCTTGGTGGCGCAGTGGCTATGCTCAGAGGCTAAGGGCAAGGTCAGCAGTTCAAAACCACCACTTGCTCCGAGGGAGAAAAACGAGACTTTCTACTCCCATAAAGAGTTACAGCCTCGAAGACCCACAGGAGTCGTCTGCCCGCCCTAGAGGGTCGCCATGGACTCCTTGGCAGTGGGTCTGCTTTGTTTTGTTTTCTATAGACAGGAGCAGATGGGCCGTCCCTCTCCCTCAGAGCCACTGGGCGGGTTCTAAGCTCAGCCAAGCTCTGATCTGTTGGAGCAGCAGGGCTGACCTCCACCCCCCATTCTGTCTGCTTCCCTTTGTTCCGGGTTTTCTGGCTTACTTGAAACGTGTTCCTCCCGTGCCCCTCCCCCCACTCCTGTGTGCTCTGTAAATGTACCACGTGTGACCTGTCTCACCGCCTGTGCAGTGAGGGTGGTGGTGACCGCCACAGGGAGTGCCGGCGGCTCAGTGCTCACGGCATAGTCAGCAGCTCGGAGACCAGGGGTTCGAGCCCACCAGCCCCTCCTTGGGAGATAGACGAGGCGGTCTACCATCGTAACGCTCCGCAGCCTTGGGAGCCCCAAGGGTGTTCTCCTCCGTCATCCACGGCCACGCAGAGTCAGAATCAGCTGGGTGGCACCAGGGTTTTTGGTTTGATTTTGGAAAGCCCAGTGGGAAGGGTGTGCCGGGCAGAGGGAACAGTGCATGCGGAACTCCGGAGGAGCTGGGGGCCAGGGGGTCCGGGGCCTGAGAGAGGGTGGTTTAGCAGACTATGAGTGGATGAGGGGACAAAGCTGCCAGCGCAGCCAAGAACCAGCCCGGGAAGGGCTAGGCTGGTAGGCAGTTTGTCAGCAGAGGCGTGTCTGTAGCACTTTGTTTCAAAAGCCCTCCCTTGGCCCTCCAGAAACAGAGACTGACTAAGGGTTGTGGCAGAGGGCAGGGACCCCAGGCCAGGTCCGTCCCTGGCCCACTGTTCCCTCCTGACCCCCAGCCCCGTGCCGCACCTCCAGGCCAGCCTACCCCGTGCCTGGCCCCAGGAG